CGAATAATGTTGAGACTCAAAAGCAATCATGATGTTGTCAATGATAGATCTACCCAGGATAAACGCACTCTGATGCTTAGAAATACATAAATGCAACACATTCTTCAATCTCTTGGCTAGGACCTTTGAAAAAAATTATAAATTACATTGCAAAGGGCTATGGGCCTCCAATCCCTCATCACCTCCGGATTATCCTTCTTAGGGATCAATTCAATATTCGTATGATTAATGTTTTCCGGAAGCTTACCAGACTGAAAAGTATCTCGGCAGAACTTGATGGCGTCTGGCCCCACTACATCCCAAAAATGCTGATAAAACCTCGGACTTAGCCCATCTGGACCAGGAGATTTATCCGAATACATGTCGAAAACAGCGGCCTTAACTTCCTCTCCATTATTGGGTCTAAGAAGAGCAACATTATGGGACTCCTCCAGCCTCCTGGACACGCAATTTAAAACAAAATCACCTATATGTTGAGGTGAAGAAAAAATGTCAGTAAAATAATTCCCTATTAGACTGCCAATCTCTTCTCTATCGGATTCCCAGCCACCTTCATCCACCCTAAAGCCCTCAATCCGATTCTTCCTACGCCGCTGCTTCATCGAGTTTTGGAAACATCGAGTATTAAGATCACCGCCCTTGAACCAGAATTCCTTAGCCCTCTGATGCCAAAATAAATTTTCTCATTCTACTATATCCAAACACTCGTGTTTCACCCTTTCAAAAACCCCCAGATGCCAATCATCGATCCGAGAACCTACATAGGTACTCCAACCATTTTCTACAAAAACTAATTCTTTTTCCCAAATCTCCAGCTTTGGTTCTCCCCCACTCGCCAACCGACTTGCGGCAGATTTCAATATGCTTCATAATCCCCGCACCAGCCCCCATACTCCAACTCTTAGCCACAATGGACCGGCAATCGTCGTCCCTGAACCAAATATTCTCGAACTTAAATTTGCTGCGACGATGAAATCTTCGAGAAGAACTTTATTTAATCTGTCGTGAAGAACAGACGACTGCATTGAATATTTTTAATTCGATCAATTTTATACGGAGTATTAAGAATGTAAAATATTTTACGACGACCCTCCCCCCACGTAAAGTGTTTTACATAGTACAGTCTAAAATGATTTGAAATAGTATCCTACAGTTTACATTAAATTATTGTACCAAACGGTGTAAATTGTTTGCATCCCTACACTTTGCACGTAAAATGGTTACTTTACACCTTGACAAACGCCCCCTGATTGTAAAGACGTATGGTACTATAAGTTACTCCCCCCGTCCCCCTAACTTTGTCCCATTTTACCTTTTCGTCCGTCCCACTAAGTTTGTCTCATACCATATTTGGTAATATTTGTGTGATTACAATTCATTCTTACTTTATTCACATTTTATTAATTCAATACCAACTACACAATTCCACTTTTACTTAAAAATTGTGTCACACCCCTTTGTCCCAAACATAGTGGGACGGAGGTAGTATAGAATCATATTTATGGTGTAAATGTTGACATGCTTAATGTAATTGATGTGCGAAAACAAAAGTAAGTGTGATGAATTATAAAATCATGTTCCAGCTTATTAAGTAACACTTTTATCAATAATAAAAATTAAATAATGATTTTTTGCTCCAAATTAAATTTTAATCATATAAAAAAATTAAAAGTACTTTTCAGAATGATTCAGGTGAAATTATTATAGAGGACTATATGACTATATTTCATTAAAAAAAAAAAGATGACAGCCCATTCCTGAGGGCCCCTAACACCGACAGGACGACACGACGGGAGAATGTAAATTGGACTATAATCACAATCTGACAGATAGAAAGTGGAGCTCTGTCCCGGTACTTGCAGAGACCCTCTATTGAGTAACCTCTCATCTCAGTTACCGGGAGTCGAACCCGGGACCTAACCCTTATGGCACTCCCTCGCTACCAGTTGAGCTACGCCCACCGATAACTATATTTCATTAAAAAACTACTCTATTAACAAAATAAATTTGATATTTCAAAAAAAATTGATATATAATTTTTCCAAAATTCAAAGAATTTAGCCAATTTAATTACTCAACACTTCATCTATTTTAATTGCTTCAATCAATTCAACAAATTTTAATATTGACAAACGGATTGTTAGTATACTAAATCTAGAGCTTGTTTGGTAAAGTCATTAACGGCTGAATCGACTACTTCTGCTAAATTTTATGAAATAATGACTGAAGTGACTGGATTTATAGATTCCGCTGATTTAGTGAAAAAATATATTTTAAATATATTGTATTAATAAAATAAGAAATAATTCCAGACATATGACCCAAATGAAAGTAGTTGACAAAAATGTAACTCCGGTAACTTTAGTGACTATGATTATATTCAAATGTTACATCATAGTGACTATTAAACTTAAGCATAGTTTATCATATTCTGGTCTTATAGCTGATGATATTAGAGAATTGAAGACAAGTTTTGTCAACGTGTCTTTTTCTCATGTTAGACGATCTGCGAATCGAGCCGCTCATGCGATAGCAAGGGCAGTGAGTTCTATGTCTATTTGTCAGTATTGGTTATTTAATCATCCTCATTTTATTGTTGATGTACTGAATTATGATTTGATTAATAGCAATTAATTACCTTTCATCCAAAAAAAACTTAAGCATAGTTGGGGGTGGAGAAAAATAGCGGAAAATCGGTATATTGCACTTACCGTACGGTATGATACCGTACTGATTCATTTCGGCATGGTAAAGGTAAATGTTTTCAAATAACGTGGTATATCGGTATAATACTGTACTGACTCCTTACCCAACAATTACTTTTAATTTTAAAATATTGTAAACATCCTTCACAATTTTGAAGCCCAAATTTGATACTTAGATTGGTTACAAATACCAAAATATAAAAATAAAGGTCCAATTTCCCAAACCCACTATAACTTTCTAGGCTTCTACAACTAACACTCAAACAAATTAACCCTAATGACTAATGACTGATATACTAATGTCCAGTGTAATGAGTGCATTTTGTTCCAGTAGCTTGCGAGTCACGACGATTGAGCCCTTGAGTAGCTACCGAGTGAAGAGGGATACACTTATGTGACGAGTGTATCTATGTAAGAATTCCATGAGTCGAGACGCACAACTTTGTCTGAACGTCTTATTCAAATACTCCGGTATTTATTTTTACATTATAAAAATAACTATATACATAATATCTATATTGTTCAAGTAATTTTAAGAAAATATGTTATTTTTTAATATGTGGCATGTTGATCTGCTTAAAAGTACTAATAATAATTATTGTTCAATATTGAATATGACATCAATAGAATATCAGTTGTATTTTGTAATACATTAATAATGGATTAAATATGTCGCTAGTAACACGGATTTAGTATATTTCATTAGTCTATGACAATTTGTTGTATTTGGAGACATGCATGGTAATTTACTGATATCGTATCGTTACCAAACTGAAACTTCGGTATATACCGAAATGCGGTATACCGAAACTTCGGTAAGATAACTTTATATAAATTTTGTATATACATACCAAAAGTTTAGATATAACGAGGTATGACAGAATATATTCGATTACCGTACGTCCGTACCGAACCACCCATAAGCATAGTAACTTAGTCATATTTTTATTCATATGATTATTATTAGTACTCCCTCCGTTCCACTATGTTGTCCCAGTTCTTATTCTATTGATGAACATAAAGCATTATTAATTTCTTAATTTATATAACACATTTTTATTAAATTTGATTCTGGTTTTTACGACTTTGCAAAGCTTTTAATGTAGATATGAATATGTAATTTTATTTTTCTAAAAAAAATGAATGTAAACAGAATCTGTTTGCTTTATCTTCAATCAAACATTATAAACCGAATTGAACAATAATAGTTGGAGGTAGTAGGGAAAAACTCATAAAGAAAAGAAAAAAATATGTGTAAAAAAATAAAAAAATAATCATCTACATTAATTTCAATAATTATAGTTAGAAAAGTAATTTCATCTTTATTTTTTTTTTACATTATTCAAGGTGCAAAATAAAAAATTACGTTTTTAGTGAAAAAGTTGTTTGATAATGTTGATAAACTGAAAAACAGGATTACCAAACAAGCTCCTACTCATCAACAATTTGTAAGCTATCCATATATTTTGTTAGAATACTACTCCTATAATAGTATATTCAATCGCATCCGACAACTATTATCAATTAGATGGCTCTTTTTACACGGACGACTTTCTGGGGCATGCAACCGAAAGCGATCGTCGTTCCCCTATCTCAATGCCGGCAGAAATTATGAAATCAAAATTCAACAGAGCTATTTGCAACAAGTCCCAGTTTGTGACCTCAGAAAATTGCGTGCCAACGGAAAACTTGAACACCCAACTCAAAATCTATAGGAAATCTCACAAGAATAAAAGACATCACAGCATGACGACAAACGTATATAGTTGATTCAGGCTTTTCTTTCATTGTACCGTTTTTACCTACTTTCTTTTATTTCCTATTTGCATTGTAATGTTTACTTCTTTCAATAAAAATCACTTTCCCTAAAAAAAAACGTATATTCAATCGCTGTCCATATATTTTGTTGTATCACTAATACTAAGAAGCCATTTGACAACACTGTTTTTCAGCTTATCAAGCTTATCAACCAATTTTTCATCAAACACATAATTTTTGTTTTCGCACGCTGAATCATGTAATAAACATAAAAAAGAAAGGTTGGAATTACTTTTGTGGCTGTATTGATTGAAATTACTGTAGATGGCCATTTTGTTACTTTTACATATAATGGTCATCAAGGGACCAGTTAAATCGGGAAGGTTGATCCCATAAATCAGCACAAACAGCCAATGCAGTCTCTTTAGCCAAAACTTTATAAATTTCAATAAAATCAACTGAAACAGCAATTTTCGTGCTACCAAACGGACTCTAATACTACTATTTACAACTTTTAAAATGAAAACATGTAATTCCATTAAATACGAAGTACTAGGTATTATAAACTTGTACAAAATTGAGGTAAACTTTATAAATGACATAAACCAGTAGGATCTTTTAAATACAATCGCAACACCAAATAATAATTACTCTGATTTTTTTGGTAACGTATGAGACTAATACGGAGTAATACTAATCAATCATGCTATAGGCACCCCATTTTGGGTACCCTATTTTTACTCACATATTGTGTGACCTAAATGAGGCCACACTTAAATGTGTTGCCTAATTTAAAAAGTATTGCCCCATTTGTGAGCAGGAGTAAAAATGAGTACCCAAAATGGGATTTTTGAAGACTAATTACTCTGATGATAGCACAAGAAATACATTACAGCTGATCCGAGAGGGCTAATCATTTAGCATTTCCATTTTCTTTGGTGGAATTATTATCAAGAGGAATTGGGTATTTCAAAGCATTTAGTTCCATTTTTCTGAGGGCAGCTTTACCGAGATCGATGCCACACATATCAGAGAGTCTGACCAAGTACAGCAAAACATCAGAAAGCTCTTCTCCCAAGTGTACTTTCTCCTCTTCTTCCCACCCTGGCAAACCCTTTGGAACCTCCCCTTTCCACTGGAAAATCTCTGACAGCTCTCCCACTTCTCCAACCTTTAATTATTACACCCATTGGCAATCAGCTTTATCATCATCTAGTCTAGATAGACTGATAGATGTAGTTGAAAACTTTATCCATAAAAAGGAAAAGTTGAAACACAGCGTTGCTTCAAGTACTCCATATTCAAAAGTTGTACACAAAAATTGTACACTTGTGTCTTCAGAATTCGAAGCTAGAGGTGTCAGAAAAGTTACCACAGGGATAACTGGCTTGTGGCAACCAAGCGTTCATAGCGACGTTGCTTTTTGATCCTTCGATGTCACAGACAAGTGTACATCTTTTGTGTACAATTTTTGTATACACCTAGCTCTATTCCTCCATATTTCATACTCCCTCTGTCCCGTTGGAATGTTTCCGTTCACTATTCATTAGTCAACTTAGGTCACTCTTAATCTTTTACTTTATATATCAAATTTTTATCAAATTGAACTTTTCTTGATTAGGCTTTGTAGCGGTTTTAATGTAATTTCTGAATATGTAAATTTTATTTACTAAAAATAAGCGGAGTGTGAACAGGGATCGAATTGCTTTATCGTCAGTCAAGTATCGTAAACCGAACGGGAACATTCTAACGGGACGGAGGTAGTATTTGTTAACTTTCTTATTTTGTAAACAAATTAAATCAAATAATGTCAAAACACTGTCAAAAAGTATCAAAACAATGTCAAAACACTATGAAATCAAATTCATTTGCTTGATATGAATGAAGTCAAACTAAGACATTGTTTTAGGATGGAGATAGTATATCCCATACAGCTATAAAATTGTTGACTTTTAACTCACACTCACATTTTGTATAGTAATTGGGTGCAAATATTAATGACTTTTTGTCTACTGATAGACAAAATGTGTTTTGTCTCTCACATACACATGTTTACACTGTATAGACAAAAAATGTTTTGTCTATGAAAGAGTAAAAAAACTTTCACAATTAATGTGTAAGAAATAAAGTGTGTAGAACAAAAATTACTAAAAAAAAGTCACAAGTAATGGCTGAGTTTGTACTAGTTCATTTGATAAGACTTTTTTTGGCTTATTACTTCTATAATCAGATTTTATCAAAAGTAACATCATTTTTTACAGTCGAAATTAGTAATAATGAAGAGCACAAAGCTAATTGAACTAGTACATACTTATCTACGCTTGTTGTTGTACACACTTTTATATCCACCATTATTGTGAAGTGTTAATCTAATTCATAAACAAAATAAATTGAACCGACATATTTAATCTGCCACGGGGATCTGCAAACATATATTGTCTGTGACTGGAATTTACAGACAAAAAAATGTTGCACAAACATGATGGATATAAAAGAAGTTATACGGGTGGGTACAAACAGTTTTTTGTTACTTAATACTACTCATCCTCCTAAAAATTAGAGTCACACAAATATTACCAAATATGATATTTTTTTTTGGTTTAATTACCAAATATGATATTGGAATATGATATTGTAACAATTATAAGAAGACAGGGGAGTATACTCTTATAAATATTCATATTCACTCAATTGAACTACTACACTCCTATATTCGAGTACAGTGGCGGAACCAGGGGTGGGCGAGCCGGTGCCGGCGCCACCCCTTCGCCGGAGATGCTAGGTTAAATATATATATAATCCCCACAGCGCCCGGGTCGTCTTCTTCCTTGCCGCTGTTGTTTTCCGCCGACCTGCGCTCCGTTTCGTTGGACAGACATGATTTCAAGGGTTCTGTTTTTGTTTTTACCTCACCCATACGACGCTGTTTTATCAAGCGTAAAAAGTAATTGAAACGACGGCGTACTTAGCATAGCAGGGCTCAAAGGCGGAATTTAATTTTGATTTTTATCAATTATAATTATCAGCCAAACTAAAAGGGCGTAGCTTGACCGAAGGCCCAGCTGGCCATATTTTAAAGTCTAAACTCAGAAATATGAAACGACCTGTGCCCCTGTAGTCGTTGGTCTTCCGTGAATGCTCAAGCCTTTCTGTGAATTTTGTTTGACTTGCAACTCCGTATTATTTTAGTGTTTTAGTCATTTAATTCTGAATTGTTTGTATTTTGGGTTGCCATTAAGGTGGTTTTATCATTAATTGAGGTTTTTAAGGTTGCATTTCCGGTTTGCTTTACCGCCTTGAGATTTACTGCTTGAATTCTTTAAGAATTGCTGAATTGAGACATGTTATAACTAGTAAAGTAGTAATCCTTGTTTTTAATTATTTAGTTTAGCTTGTGATTAATATTTACTTTTTCAGGATTTAAAGTTTCAGAATTTTAATGATCCCTAACTAGTTTAGGGATGTATATTGATTTATCTACTATGCACTTTGTAAATAGCTAAAGTAAAAAAAAAAAGACCAATAATTTATACCAATAATTTGTAAATAGCTAAAGTATATTGATTTATCTACTACGTACATAATATTAGTAAAAAAAAACTTTAGAGTTTGTTGTTATTATATATTAGTAATGACTTTATATTAGTAATTTTTGTTTGTTAGATTACTTATGTGTAGTTGACCCCAAAGTGTTTTGGGAATAAACTTTAGAGGTTATTGTTGTTAGATTACATATGTCTACATTATCATTGTATTTTCTCAATTTGTTTTTTCAATTTTAGTATTTTGAGTTTTGGTGAATTTCTTTACCGCCCCCCCTCAAATATTGTTCTGGTTCCGCCACTGTTCGAGTACGTTCAATCACCTCTCAGGGAAATTCTCTTGTTTAAATGATAGAAGCCGTTTGCAACCACTGTTTTTTCGGTTTATCAGACAACTTTTTCATCAAACACGTAATTTTTGTTTTCGCGTGTTAAATTGTGTAATAAACAGAAAAAGTAAGGTTGGAGTTACTTTTCTGGCTTTATTGGCTCAACTTACCGTGGAGGATCATTTTAGCTATTTTTACGTATAATTTTTTTTTATTTTATTAATAAAATACGGAGTATATTTTAAAAATATTGTTTTCTAAAATCAGCAAAATTAGCCAATGCGCCCATTTAAGCCAGAACTTCATAAATTTCAGCAGAATCAGCAAAATCAGCCGATTTTCATGCTACCAAAAGGACTATTAGTTTCCTATTAAGACCTATATATGATGTATTTTTAGAAGAATTATTAATCCTTTATAATTTACGATATGTGTTTTTTGCTGTTTTAAGATGGGTATTATAAATAGGGACGCTGTGGAATTATTATAATAACCATGCCTTCAAATTTGACTAAAAATCTCATGCCTATAGGCTATAGAAATGGATATTTTCTTGCAGGTAGACAAACAAGTTAAATACAAGTTCAAATTGGATCTCGGGTTAGCGATAAAGACATAAAAAAATTGGATTAGCGATTGCCACAAGGGGAGCTATACAATACGAAGTACATACGGCGTAAATAATTTAGGAAAAAATGAAACTTGTTAAGCAAATGTTTATATTTTTTAGAAAACCAAAAGATCAGACAGATAAGTAAAAAAAAATTGGGTATGAATTGTGAAAAAAAAGTCAAATTTAAAGAAATAGAGTGAGAGAAAAAGTGGAAGGTTATGTGAGGAATACCAGAGCAAGAAGAAGGTTCCTGGGACTGTGAAACTTCTCCCACCCTCTCTCTTTAGCAAAATCATCCATCTTCTTCTTCAGAAGATCAAGGCTTACACTATCTTCCCCAGTCATCTTTTGTTCTTTACAAAAAGCGAAATGATTAACAATTATAGAGAAGGGAAAGCAAAACTTAAGAATGTGAAGGGTTTAGGGTACGTATATATATGGCCATATGGGAATTAGAGAGAAAGAGATACCAACATTGGAGGCCCGTTTGTTTAGACGAATTTTTTTGGTTTGGTCTAGTTGATTCATCTCAACTGGTTTGATAGATGTCTAATTTTGTGTATTTACATGTCCAATTTTGTGTATTTACAGTCTTTTGAAAATAAGTTTAATTAAACACATCTTTAACCATATATTCTATATATACTACTATAACCATATATTATGTTTTACATTGATTTGAATTTTCTGATCTGATCTATTTAGTAAATATCTGTTATATGTGTATTTCATAACTGTTCAAATTTAATCTGATCTGATTTGATTTGGTATGAGACTGAAGATAATCCAAGTAAAAAATTTGAGTACATATGCCCGATTTTGTTTTTGGAGAACCTTTTTTTTGTGATACCCACAATTTACTTCATGAAAAACAAAACAAATGTAACAAAAATGGGGGTGTGCAAATGGACAGGCACACCTTTTGTATTTGGAATTTATGCGACTATTGGCGTTTGGTGTACCGGTGGCCGGTGCTACTTATTCGTGTTTGATATGTTTGTGTTTTTTTCTCTTTTTTGTCCTATTATTTTTATGGAACAATTGGCTTCTGTTGTTTGTTAAGCATTCCATTGATTGAATAATGTTGGGAGGAGTGTGGGGTGGTTTTGGACGAATGTTGATTGAGCGTGATTGTTTGTTGAAACTATTTGGAAAAAAATTATTCGTGCAAATTTAAATAATACGGAGTAAGTACTTAAATTAAATATTAAACAAAAAGTAAAAATAACACGGAGTATACAATTTCGAGGAAGGGTTAATGTGTAATTTTTCTAAATATGAGTAATTAGTGTTATGATTGTGAATTATTGCCAATTAAACTTGTTGCAATGATCGAATAAAATGGAAATGTAGCATTTTCACTCCATTTGATGTGAAATAGTAACAAAAAAAAGGAAAGGAGGATCGTGTATTGGGTAGCTAGGGCAAAGAATTAATCTCTCATCCACCCTAGCAGAAAATCAAAGGGAAATTTACTAGGATATGGCTAAAAGTCAATGAGTTTCTCAATCTATGACCTAACTAGTTTTTATACCGTTGTATGACCAAAAATCCAAAAATAAATAGAAAATTCGTTTATATTTAAATGTTGAATGACAAAAATACCCTTATTTAAAATAATGGCATTTTGCACTAATTTCGTCTAATTAAAATTACTGCACTTTATATTGCCGTTAATGCACAAAATTAATGCATGACTTTACTGCACATCCGGTAATAATCACTGCACTTCCCCTAAAATTAATTCTCTTCTTATTCAATTGAGGTTTTTTTTAAAAAAAATTAATAATTTTATTATTTTACGTTTAATTAAGTATATTGCATTTGATGATGATATCATTGCTTTGTGTTACTGCAATACTGATCATAATCACTTCCCAACAAAATTTCTTAATGCATTCGTTCACTGCCATGTACAACATGTCTATTATCATATATATTTACTATCAATACTCCGCACTTATTGAAATGTTCAGTGATGATATTCAATGCCCATATTTAATGCTCACAAACCCTAAATTCAATATAAAACCAAATCTTAAAAATTAAAAAAAAAAGGAAGAATGAGGGTGACAAATGGAAGAAGAATCAAGGTAGTGCGTGTTTCAAGTTTTCAACATATATACTCTGCGCAAATCAGACCAATTAATAATTTTAAATTGGTAAAAAGTTACTCTCAAGACAAAAATCAAATTCAAATTCTCTCCCATCTTGTTGTTCCAGACTTGCAGTCACAAGCTCCAAGCCAACTCCTCCAAGAATAGTCGCCGTACCATGGATGCCACTCCTTTGCTGCGAGGGTCGAAGTTGTTGCGTAATACAAGGACAGTCGGACTGGAGCTCCATCTCCCGTCATAAGTTGCTAGTCGGACAACTCTGGATCTCCGGCATGAAAGGTGCTGCCCTAAGAACGGGTGACAAACGGTGGTTGGCGGCTGGGCGGCATTGTAAGATGGCTGGGTAACAAGCGGCAGCGGCGGCTGGACATTGGTACAGAGATGGGCGATGGATAGGTTACCATTAGGGTTGGTAGGATGATTGGGTTTTATAATAATAAACAAAAGGGCATATTAGTCCATATAAAATATTTATTTAATTATTTATTAATGTATTAATTAAATATGACAATTTTTAGTATTATTTTGGTAAAAAAACTTATTAGGTCATAGATTAAGAAAATGATGTAGTTTTAGTCACACCTAGGGTAATTATTTCAAAATCAAAACAACAAGGTAATCGAGCATCGTACGAAAAAGGGAGGAAAAAAGCAGGTCGCAGGACCCTAGCCCTGCTACACTCCTGAATGAGTGCAGAGCCTTTGCGCGGTGTTGCGCAAACGCGTGGTGTGAACGCATTGGCGCAATTACGCATGCTCTGATCGCTTATCTGCTACCCAAATTTGAAAAAAAAAAACTTCCAGGTAAATCCTATAGCAAGGACTAATTGGGACCTCAAAAATATTTTAGACCGATCCAACAGATGAAATCCAATCAAATAGTTAAAATAATTCATTTCACTTTTTCTTGATAATCAAGATCCTACATGCCGGACTAATTAGACATCAATTTATCTCTGAGCATGTCTTTTAACATCAATTGAATACACTTTTATCAGTATTCTCCTTTTTTCTATCTCATTTTTACCAAGTCCTTAATTGATCATTCTTGACCACTCATGAACAAGTATGATTAATAATATCTATTGATATGAAATTATTTTAAATACGGAATTTATATGAAAATGTTACATTAAAATAATTTCATAAAAGTATCAAATTTATGAATTACATACAACAATTAGTAACTAAAATCATTATTCAAAACTTACCATCATTGATTAAGAAAGTTAATATGACAACATTTTTAAGACAAAGTTAGTATTATAGAGTGCTAAAAGTCTTTAATTAGATGTGAATATTCATAGAAAAGGTGTCATGATTGCTATGCATATGTTGATGATGCTAAGGAGAATAAAAGGCAATATAATATGCTTTTTTCTCACGCGTATTCTAAATGATCTTTAATAGCATGATAGTAATACATAGGGGAGGGGTCATATAGGAATCACTCATAGAATGAGGACTCTTTTGAAATTGAGAACTTGTAATCTACATCATTCATTTTTATAATCAATGACTAATATTGACAAAGTTACATTTTTGAAATTATTTAGGATTAATTTTTTTAAAAAAAAGCCTCATTTGAATTAAGGATAATTATGAATATGACATCATATGAATATTAACCAATGATTCTAATAAATGAAAGGCTGAGATTAAAGTTCTCATTTTACGGATTTCTCATAGTTCTCATTTTAGGAGGGGTTCTCACTACAACCTGCCCCATATTACATATGTATATATGTGTGTGTATTGCAAGCTCAAGGCAATCTCTAGATCTCTCAAATATTGCATCGACAACAACTACACTGACTTCATCCCTGAAATAGATCCAGAATCAGCTTGCCCAATCCTAAATGAAACTCCACGCCAAAGGTCAAGAGTCCAACCTTTTGCAACCAGATCAACATGCCTCAATCATACGCTTAACTTCCAAGTCTCCCACAATCTGACCCGGAAAGGATTGAACCTACCAACGCTTGAGCATTTTTCATGTCAAGATGACCTTTCAGAAATTGTCCAGAACCATATCGACATAGACACACATATTAAGAACATGTGCAAAGTAATTTTTAATATTTGTTGGGCCGACCATATAATGATGCCCCTCGCTCTGGCTGAGGGTCCCATCCAACTTATCCAAGGGTGAAAACTAGAAAGCATTGGGCCAATTACAATTGTATGAGGGAATGTGAATCAATAATCTAGGCATGTATACTCCCTCAGAAGTTTTTCACATCCTTCATTGAAAGTATTCAATTTGAGACGAAAGGGTGTAATTGTCATTGGTGTTTGTTCCATACCGAATATAATAGGGCAATGTGTAGTCCCCAAGCCCCCACTCCTCCTGGCTGAAAGTGATTTTGCCTGGTGTGCACCTGTCACTATGCCAATGCACCTCACTAATGCTGGGTTGATGATCCGATATCATTGGTGAACTCTGACCACAACAACCCTGTGAGAGAATCCCTGACTAACGGTGGCATGCATGAGACCATCACCAATGAGATCGGATTCTCCCACTCGTAAATTCGAGGGTTGTGGAGTTGGGGAGTGTTATTTGTACTGGTGAGGCAATTATCAAATTTATTTTTTCTGGGGTATAGATATAGTCAACGAGCTTCCTCATCCCTTAGCGAAGGTAGGTTGTAAACCAAGGGGCTCACTGTAGTGATGGTACGTGATGACACTGACTGATGGGGAAGCTTAAGTTTTGTTGGTCATGCTTAGGATGAATGGGGCTGAGAGGTTTACCTTGTAGCAGCATTCTGGGCGGATGGAGTGCTATGTGGCATGAGTTTAGAGGTCACAATACTGGCAAATCGCCTCAATGGGACCGATGGTATAGAATGGGTGGGACGTGTCTCGATCGTTAGAAAGCACTCCCTCAGTCCCAGCTTAACCTTCTCACTTGTCTCTTTTGAACGTCTAGAAGCAATGTCAAACCACAAGAAATTTGCATAGCAAGTCATCCCATTATCTTTACATTCTTGATTCACCAAAACCCTGTCCAACTTTGCCCATTTCAGATTCATACGCCAAGTGAAGAGATCACGTACAACAGAAGAATCCTCCCAATTCAAGGAGTTAATACAATTTGGCAAATCAGTCATCTGGTAACCTTGAGGTTCATTACTCCCCAATCTTTCATGTGGATACCTGACACAATTGAAATCTCCTAATATGGTCCATGGAGAGTCAATAATCCGACCCATTCAAACAATATGCTCCCATAACAACCTCCTCTCAACCATTGTATAAAGCCCATAGACCGAATTAAAGTAACCAAAAAAGACACATGTGTGTCCAAACATTTGATCCTACAGTGTATGAATTGGTGTCCACTATCAAGAATATTACAACTCACTCTACTTGGGTCCCAAATTAAA